AAAGTGGGTGGGGTGAGGAGAGTGGAGGGTACCGTTCTGCTGGGCAGCAGGGCGCCTGGGCAGTGTTGTGAGACCATCTTTGCGCTCCGCTTCAGGGACGCTCATGTGTTTTTCATGAAGAGCGCAGACTGAGAGCCTGGAAGGCGCCGTGTGACACAGGCCTGGGATCATGGTGGCCGAACGAGGACAGGGCAGGAAAGGAGGAACTAAGAGCGGTTCAGGAGGTAGAACCCCACAGGGGTTGGTGAAGGAAGCGAAGAGTCAAGGAGGCCGCCCAGTTTCTGTTTTGGGAGACTGGTGGGTGGGGGGTCCGGTGGCAAGAAGCAGCAAAGGTGTTGAGTGGGGGGAGGGCAGGGAGATGATGAGTATTTGTGGGCAGGTGCCTCTCCTTGGCCATGCCCTGCGGACAGCTGGGTGTGCAGGGCCGGAGCTCAGGTGGCAGAGATTTTGGAATCGCCATCAGCCTGTAGGTGGGAACCGGGCCAAGGGAGTGGGTGCCATCTCCATGGGAGGACCAGCAACATGTAAAGATGTGCAGGGAGGGAGGGGGCCGGCGAGGGTGACGGAGGAGGAGGCTGGGGGAGAGGTGAGGGGCAGCAGAAGACCAGGGAGGAGCTTAGGAGTGTGCCAGCCTCCAGCCCTTTAGGTCCAGCAGAAGAAGGTGGGACAGGGCCCTGGGGCCCTGGGGTGAGCTTCTTAGGTGGCTGCTGGGAGCAGAAGCCTGGTTAGGGGGTGAGTGGGAGCTGGGGAGTTACGGACAATGTATGTGGACAGCAGCTCCTAGAATCTTGGTGTGAAGAGGAGAGAAGAACAAAGGAGGACATATTTTTTAAGAAGCAAGAAGGTTGGGCAGTTTAAATTCTAAGGCAGGACAGTGTGATGGAGATGCTGAGTTGAAGGGGAGAGGGGTGCTCTAGGAACAATGCCCTGGGAGAGGGGAGGGGCGGGTCCAAGGCCTGGGAGGGGTTATCCTTAGGTCAGAGGAGCAATCCCACCTCCAGGTGCTGGAGGGAAGGAGGAAACAGATCAGGTATGGAGGCCGGATAGCGAGGGGTTCCTGACCAGTGGCCAAGATAGTTCAACTCTGCCCCGAATATAGCAGTAAGCTGTGCATATAATTATCAATAGCACCACCACCATTAATAACAGAGTGATTCCTCGTGAATCAGGTGGCCATTCCTCCCATTTCTAGCAGCCTCGGGTTCTAGAACCAGAGTGGGGCCCACGCACTGTGAGACCAGAGCTGCCTGTGCCCCAGGCTGACTCTAGCGCACAGAAGACCAAGGTCCCTGATTCAGTGAGCTGGGTCCTTTAGTTTCCTGTTTTATTTCCAGCAGCCTTCCATTTCAACCCTAGGCAGACTGGCAGCAGGTCGGTGGGGGCTGCAGAATGCACAGGGGAGGGGACAGAACTGCCAGCAGAAGAGCCAGGTGGGCTGTCCGAGACCTTCCCAGCGAGGGGCTCCCTCTGGGGCCTTCTGATTGGAGCTGGCCCCGAGGTGTCTGGAGGTAACAGTAAGCATTCCGTATGTTTACGCTGCGACTGCCCTGTGGTCTGCCAGGTCCTTTTCACCCAGGAATGTCTGGCTGGAGATAGCTCGCTTCCAAGTCTTGAGCTGCTGTTGGTTTATTTACTCAACGAACATCTGTTAAGCCCCTACTGTGTGCTTCAGAGGGTGACAGAAGCCACAGTCAGTCCCTATGCCTGGTCCCTATGCCAGCCAGCCAGCCAGCATAAGGGCTGGGAGACCCTTCCCCTGGGCCACATGCTTATCTCATTCCTCAGAACCCAGCCCCCTCCAGCACCCCCACCCCCCAGGATTCTACAATCTCCTCCCCCTGGGTCTTGGGGCCCAGAGTAGTTTCTGCTAAGAGCTGAGCATG